GGGGCGGGCGGGGCGATGCGATGAGATGCGGGGCCGGGCTGACGGCGCTGCCCCCCAGGTACGGCTTCGTGGAGTTTGAGGACTCGCGTGACGCAGACGACGCCGTTTACGAGCTGAACGGCAAGGACCTGTGCGGGGAGCGGGTGATCGTGGAGCACGCCCGGGGCCCCCGCCGGGACCGCGACGGCTACAGCTACAGCAGCCGCAGTGAGTGCAGCTCCGGCTTCCCTCGGCTCGGGCGCGGGGGGCCGCGGGCACCTGCTCGGGTCTGACCGGGGGGTGGTTGCGTGCTGGGCCCCGGCCCCGGGGGGGGCAGGGGAGCGGGGCACCTGCTGGGGCAAAGGGCTTAGAGCTGTTGGGGGCTCCCTAGTGCGTGGCTGCGGTGGGGCTTCGCACCCAGCCTTGCATGTGGGTGTCTTCTAACGAGGGGAGGGGGGTGGGATTTGTCAAGCTGATGAGGACTCCTTAAGGAGGATGCTTGGCAACAGCACCTCTCTCATGTTGTACTGACCTGGGACCCTTTGGTGGCAGGGGTGATGGTGCATCCCTGATGGAGGGTGGGGGGGCACTGGAAGTAGACTTAGGGGGTGTTTTTGTTGACTATGCAGAACATAGCTGGGGGGAGGAGCTTGCAGTGAGCGGGAGATGTCGCCTGCGAAGGCTTTTTATACGCTGAGCTCATTTTAAGTTGCTGAGCTGAGTGGAGTTGAATTGGCCTGGTGCTGTGCTTTAAAAGCATGAAGCCTAGTCTCAGAAAGTCTGAGAGGCTCATTGCTGGGTGGGCGGGGATCTTTGTATTACAAGTGTTTTGCAAATTCAAATGTATGTTGTTTTTTTTTAAACTTGTTGCATGTTCAATTCAAACTTTTTAACAAGTCCTTGATGTTTCAATTTAAAAGTGACCAGTGGGGCTGAGGCTGTGTCCACTGAGGCTAAGATGACTGCCTTTCCTGATTGGCCATGGCTTTTCCATACATTGTGTGACCCTTGCCCTATGACCCTTTGGCTGACCTTACCGGAAGCCATGACGACAGCAGCCTTTTGCCATTAGACGCAGGGTGATGGTGAGGATTCCAAGGGTTAGACAAAACTGGTTAAACTGAACTAGGTGACTGTTAACCTTGCGTGTTTTGTGGCCAAACCACCACCAAAAACCTCATACTGTGATGTAAGTACTTAGTGTAATTAGTAACGTTTTTGTAAAATGTAGAAATGCATGTAATCAGTTAAGTTTTATATTTTACAATGTTCTGTAAAATAAAACTTAGCAAGGTAAATCTAATAAAGGAGCAGTCACTCTAACAGATCTTAGGAGCACAGACTTGTAGGATTTTAGTCTATTTGATTTGCCATTAATATAGATTATGGCAAAATTGCAACTTTGTTGGAGGCTTAGAAAGATAAAAGTCCTACTCCAGTAAATGTAATCTGTATTTAACTAACTTTTTCAGAACATTTTGCTTTCTTCACACTATAAGAGAGTCTGACTTGTTTTCTTTGCACAATAAAGGTGGATATAGCAGTCGCAGACAATCGGGAAGAGATAAATATGGACCACCTGTGCGTACAGAGTACAGACTGATTGTTGAAAACCTTTCCAGTCGCTGTAGTTGGCAGGATTTGAAAGTACGTATTAATGTGACAATGTTAGTCTAGCTTCCTGCTTGGTCCCAATACTTCCCTTTTATTGTGAATGTTCATGATTTGGAAAAGCCATTTGGAACTTATTCATGTATACCTGTTGACACTTGGTGAGTTTTTTACCTCTGTTTAGGCATGTTACATTCCAGAAGCATGAAATGCTTATGTAACTCTTCATCTGTTCTCTGAAGGATTTCATGAGGCAAGCTGGTGAGGTAACCTATGCAGATGCTCACAAAGAACGCACAAATGAAGGGGTAATAGAATTTCGGTCTTACTCTGATATGAAGCGTGCCCTGGACAAATTGGATGGCACAGAGATAAATGGCAGGAAGATAAGGCTGGTTGAGGACAAGCCACGTTCAAGCCATAGGCGATCTTACTCTGGCAGCCGATCAAGGTAACCTTTTGAAACATTTGATTTGATCTTTATAGCAAAAGTCTCCTGCTAGCAGTAGGAGAAGTCTGTTATATTTGGTCTTAACTTGAGAGAGTAATCATTTCCTTTAATTAGATTATATCTTGCAGATAAGGTGATTGTTAGGATGTGGAGGGGAATAGCTTTCTATGATAAAACTTTACATAAGTGATCGGGTATATTTTCAGGAAAGACAGTTTACCTTTTGAAACATCATAAATAGTTCAGTGTCAGATGGTATTCTTACTGTAGGTTGATTGGTGACTTGCCTGCCATTGTGTGTGCCCCCCTCCTCCCCTGAAATTGTTGTGAAATTCTCAACCTGCATAGATGTTCACAAGGGCACTTTGAAACATTGCCAGGTCACGCTCTAGAAGAAGGTCACGAAGCAGAAGTCGCAGAAGCAGGAGTAGCCGCAGCCGATCCCGTAGTGTCTCTAAAAGCCGGTCACGGTGAGTAACGTACATTATTTATTGGCTGTTTCTGTTAAATGAGAAATTGTGACCCTTCCCTGGTAACTGTGGCTGTATATAAAACTGATGTGAGTGATTTTTTTTTTCAGTTCCTATAAAATATTTTGTTCTCTTAAGATCTAAATCCAGGTCACGGAGCAAAGATCGTTCGCGTTCCAGATCTAAAAGCAGGAAGTCAAGATCAAAGAGCAAATCTAAACCTAAGTCTGACCGGGGTTCCCGCTCCCGCAGCAGATCCAAGGCAAAATCTGAGAAGTCTCGCAGCAGGTCTAGGTCCATGTCTCGCTCTCCCAAAGAAAATGGTAAAGGAGATGCTAAGTCTAAATCCAGATCAAGGAGTAGGTCTCGTTCCAACTCGCCACAGCAGCAAGCCTCTGCCAAGGCTCGTTCAGAGTCGCCATCCAAAAGAGCTGCATCAAGGTCCCACTCCAGATCTCATTCAAAGTCTCGCTCACGATCAAGATCTAGTTCAAGAGATTAAGACTAGAACTCTCCTCTTACTTTGCACACTATTATGGAACGTTTTCCTACTTGCCAGACCATTAGTCTTTTATGTTAGTCCTTCAGAAGTTGGTTTCTTCTTTTGCAGAAAGGAATGGCCTGAGAACCAAGTAATGAGGCATAAAGGTTTGATTTGTATCTAAATTTGGTGAAAAGATGAGGTGGTGTGGAAATGGTGGTAAGAGCAGAAAGAGAGTCCCCTTTTTCTAGGAAAATAAAGTTAAACTTTTGATTTTTAGCATTTCAGCAGAAATAATTTGACTGCTGTTAAGATGAAAGTGGGTTTTATATTAAAATAAACTCTTGAGCATAAGACGCTTAAATTCAGGCTTTTTTGAGAACATTTTTTTCCCCCCTAATTTTTCACTATTTTAAAATTACGGACCTTAGTAACATTAAAGGTTACAT